AAGCCCTGTTAAATGCCTGTCTTTGCCATAAAAAGATCTGTTGCTTCCATGTCATTGTGAAAGAGATGAAGAATGGTGACAAATTTTGGTGGACATCCATAGGTCAGAAGGATTTTTCCACAGTGCTTCTCTGTTGGAGTCAAAAGCTTTTGTCAGGCCAGTGAATGCAAGATGCATCTATGTTTTTCTCTACATTTTTCCTGCATCTGGCAAGCAGTAAAGATCATGTCGGTAGTGCCTCTAGATGTTTTAAGCCATGGATGGGCAATAATTTTCTTAGGGTAGCCACTTCATGAATTTTGGTACACAGGCCAGCTATTGGTTTGCTAGAAGGGTTGGGACCTTGGGCAGAAAGGGTGGGGCTGGAGACTAGAGAGAGAGAGAAAGTGAGGTTGAAAGAGGCACTCTGTGTGCAAGACAGACTTTGACACATTGAGAGCGTGTGGCACAGAGATGGAAGAGTGTATGTTGCAGTGTGTGTGTGACAGTGACTGTATGTGCATTGGCTGTTGCTGAATACATTTTTGAGAGTAGCCACGCTATTGGTGGGACAGGGGAAGCTATCCTGCTCTGTTATCTCGCTCTCCCTCACTGTGCAGAAATGAAGTATGGGTGAAAGAGAGAGTGCATGTGCGCGCACACAAGCACTGAAAACTTAAAAACAGTTCTCTGCCTCTTAAGGCAGGCACTCTGAGTCACTTGCCATCCATGCTTCAGATTGGAGCAGTTTTGCTGTGTGTCTCCCTCTGCTTGATCCCTGCTCTGCAGAGATGGAGTAGAGAGGCAGTAGAACACCCTGCCTCAGCATTCTCCTTTCCCCTCCACACTGTACAGCTGCTTATTCTGCACAGCTAGCAGGAGAATCCTTGGAGTAGCTCAGCTGCAGGATGTGGAGCAAGATGGGGTTGGGGCAGTTGAACACACACTGCTGACTAAATATACATGCTCTACTCATCAGCTGGGTGGACTGAAGAGAAATGCTGGGCAGGCCAGATTTTAGCCTCTCCTGGTCTAAACCCACACTGAGAATCAGGAAGAATATCTTCAGTAAGAGGAAGAAGACAGTTCAGGAGAAATCTAGCAAGGAGGCACTCACTATGCATCCCATTACATGTACTTTGTGAGGCATTTGAAAACTCATACATTTCCAATCAGTATTGTCCTAGTAAAATATGTATGGCAAAATTGTGTAATGATGCCCCAAAAATTCCTCCCGTTTTCTCTACAGCATTGACAACACTTGAAGGAAAAGTAACACTGAATGGTGGAGGGGCCTGACTGAATGGAATCCATCTAATAAAACCACTGAAGCATGTGGTGAGAGAGATCTTTGCTTTGAAAGCATTTAGCTTGTTAAATTAGATAGTGTTTTACCTTTCATTTTCTTGTAACCAAATTTAACTTGTGTCTCATTGGTTGTAATTAAGCCTCTGAATTAATCATAGTTAAACTAACATGATTAACTGAAAAAAATTAATCCCAATTAGAAACATTAATTATGATTAATCCTACTGTTACAGTGAAATACCCCTTGACATTTAATATTTTTGTTTTTTTCTGCATTTTCACATTGATTTCTATTACAACACAGAATATAAACTGTAAAGTGCTCATTTTATTTTTCATTACAAATATCTTGCACTGTAAAATGATAAACAGAAGACAGTATTTCAGTTTACCTCATATTGTAGCGTGATCTCTTTAATATAGATTTTGTTACATAACTGTATTGAAAAACAAAACAATGAAAACTTTAGTGCCTACTTTTCATCTATTCACTAAAACAAACTAGCTTGTTTACATTTATGGAAGATAATCCTGTCTGCTCCTTATTTACAATGTCACCTGAAAGTGAGAACAGGCATTCACATAGGGCTTTTGTAGCCAACATTGCAATGTGCCAGGTATGCTAAGCATTCGTATGTTCCTTCATGCTTCAGCCACATTTCCAGAGGACATGCTTCCATGCTCATTAAAAAAATTTGTTAATTAAATTTTTGACTGAATTCTCACCTTATAGCAGTCTCAGATGGTGACCCAGCACATGTTCATGTTAAGAATACTTTCACAGCAGATTTGACAAAATGCAAAAAGGGTACCAATGTGAAATTCCTAGAAATAGCTTTAGCACTCGACCCAAAGTTTAAGAATCTGAAGTGCCATCCAAAATCTGAGAAGGACGAGATAAGGAGCATGCTTTCAGAAGTTTTAAAAGAGCAACATTCCAATATAAAAACTACAGAACTCAAACGCCCCAAAAAGAAAATCAACTTTCTGCCTGTGGCATCTGACTTGATGAAAAGTGTCATTGTTGGTTCACTTTGTTTTGGATCATTATCCAAATTAGAACCCATTAGACTATTATCATGTCCTCTGATAGCAAAGATACCTTCTGTATGTGACTCTCAAGATAGGATTCATATAATTAGAGAGCATTTCTTTGGACCACTGTCATTTCCCGCAAATGGGATAATATCTTGCAATTAACCATAATGAATATTGCATAGGGGTCTGGGAGTGGGACAATGGACATTTGTTTCATATATAGCAAGAGATCCTCCATTAGCAGTATAGTTTCTGTTCTGTATCCTGATGTAATAGATTGGAACTCATGACCATGGCATCTCCTGCTTGTCATGCTGGGAATTAGCTCAGTCATGGAGTGTACCCCTCATTGGTGTCTTGCCCGTGGTCCACTCCCCTGTCTCCACCCTCTTGCTCTGGACCTGTATCGCTCTCTTGGTCTGCAGCGTCTGCTACAGGACACTTCCCTCTGGCATTCTCCCCTCCTTTCAGAGGTATTGGCAGTCCTCAGTCCACGCACCTGTCTCAGAGGCCAACTTCAGGCCCAAAGTCTAGCCCCTCACCTCAGGGGCAAACCTCAGTCTGTATTGGCCACAATGTAGTGTGGCAAGGTGTGGTACAAGGGAAAGCGGAGGCACAAAGACCTGCCCACTACTCTTGGCCCCGATTCAGGGACCCTCTAGTTGCAGCCTTATTCTGTCCTACTTCACTACTTCACTTGATTACCTGTGGGCCACTTCCCTGCATCCCTTGTGCCGTCTCAGTCTCAGTATCAAGGCCTGCAAATCTGGTAGTGGTTAGCCAGAGCTCTTACTCCCTCGCTATCCTGCCCAGCACTGCTTTATCTCAGGCATGGTCCTCCTTCTCTGAGAGTTTATCCTTCCTCACCAGAGCAAGAGTAAGCTCTTCTCAATCCTGTAGTTTTTTATAAGTCTCTGCCTGGCCATGGTTGCCTGACTTCTCTGATTGGCCAGGTTTGTACTGGCTCCCTCTGGCCTGTTTTTAACTCTTTTCCTGCCAGAGTGGGACAACTGCTCGACTACACCTTGCCAAAACCGGATTATGTGAGATCCTTTACTTCTGTGCCAAACAGAAAAGGAAAGGTTAGTATTAGCATTTCTGATAAACTACTGAATTCAAAAAGCAAAACCTTTTTAAGCCTCCTTCAGAAAACATCAAGAAAAGATCAATGACTTTATAGACCTATAGATTTTTAAGGACAGAAAGGACACTTGTATCATCTAGTCTCACACTGAAGGCCATAGAATTAATCCACTATCTCCTGAATCAAGGCCATAACTTCAGACTGAGCTAGAGCATATATAATAGAAAAACATCCTCTCTTGATTTAAAGCAGGGGTAGGGAACCTCTGTCCTTGAAGATGAACCTGGTCTGCAGCTTGCCTAGATCCAGCCTGGGAGGCTCTTGTTCTGCCTGGTGAGGGGGAGGAAACAGCTCTGCATGCTGGCATTTCCCTTTACCCTGACTGGGGGAACAGCAGCACAGGACAGCTAGCACAGAGGCCTGTAGGCTTTTCCCCTGCCACTCTCATTGGTTGGGAATCATGGCCAATGATAGGTGCAGGGCACAATGCCTGCAAGTGCAGGGCAGCATGGAGCTACCTGTTCCCCCCCTGAACTCTGCCAGGTAGGCACTTCAATGCCTTGTCCCCTCTCACACCTTCCCTCCTGCCCAGTTCCCACACCTGTAGCCCATTATTGCACTCCCATCCAGACCCCTCATCTCCAGCTACTTTTACACCGTATTTCCCACCCAGACCCCACATACCCACCATATTCCTGCACCCTATCTCCTGTCCAGACCCTGCATCCCCACCACAGCCTGCTCCCCTCCAGCCCCCTCCAGCACATTGGACCCCTTATTTTTGGCCCCACCCCAGAAGCCTAGGGTGGCCCTACAAAATCTTCTTGCCCTGGACTCGCAGAAGTGTTTATCTGGCCCTTGGGCACTGAGCCTTGTTCCCTTTCTGTGGGGCTGGAACATGAAGGGAATGGGTTTTTTTAAAATGCCTCTCAGTTGGGATACACATCTGTGAGTGGCTTTCCCCCCTTCTTTCTCACTTGAAGGCCAGGTCAGTGAGATTTGGGGTTTTGTTGTTGTGTTTTGGTTTTTTGCTTCTCACCTGTATGTGGCACTGACTGATTTTTTGTTTGTTTGTTGGTTACTGGCCCTGATCCAAAAAAGTTTCCCCGCTCCCGATTTAAAGACTTCAAATGAGAATCCAACACATTGCTTCATAAATTGTTCCAATGGTTGGTTAACGTACAGATAATGCAGGGGACATTAAGCTATTTGTATAAAAAAATGCCAACTTTGGGTACTTCTTTAAGTGAAAACAGAACAACTAATACTTTTTCTATTGAGTTATTTTGTTTAGTGTTTACATGACTATTCCAGCTCTTATTCAACAGCTAAACACCATTAGATGGCAGCATTTATCATGTTTAAAATGTGGTTAATCGTAACTGAAAAACATTCCAAAAATATTGTACGCTTCTTTGAAACTATTAAAGTTTTTTACATAATAAATATGAAGATGAGTTCATGACTGATATGAGCCTTACTAATGAGTGTCTCTCCTCCTGCATATGCTCTCAAGTCAGCTGCAAATATATTAAAGTGCTTGTCCTGTCAACTTGCTATAACTTCTGTATGCAACCTTTTATTGTTTTCCCTTCCTACTGCCTTGATGGATCTTGTAATAGGAAACACAAACCAATTTGCTTATGGCATGTGTAACAAGGAGAAGAGGGGAATAGGAAACTTGAGGATGTGTATTTTCAGTTAGTAAAGAAAAGAACCTAAAGATTAGAGGAGTGAAATGTGAGAATTAAATTATGGTAATACTAAATAGTATACCTTACTTTAGATGTTAGTTCCTCCAGTGCCACTAACACATTGGGCAGTGCAGTTCGTCCATTGATTATGGTTGCTCCCTTCATGTGGTACTTCACAGGTGATGACAGCACACTTAGCATCCTCAGCCACTGTCTTCTCTTACTTTTGTAGAAGATACTGACAGAAGACTTAACAAGTTTTAGCCACAAACCCTATCAGCTGGAGCTGGAGACCTAAGAGACTGAAATAAGCCTTCGGAGCTGATGGAGCCCAGAGAGTAAGCTAGGCATATTTCACTGGGATTCCCCGTTGAGCTAGTGGTGGCCCACTCCACCACTGCCAACGTCCTGGGTTGGGGCCCAGTAGTGTTGAGTAGGCTAGGACCCCCCTACTGGGGTGCCGCCCCACCCCCTATGTCTAGAGACAGTCCCCTTGGCACTGGCCATCATTCCCTGCATGCAGTGCTGCTTTTTTTTTTTTAAAGGTGCCAGTACTTTGGGGCAGACTTGTTGAGCCAAAAAAGAATCATGCTGGGGTCTGAAATGCAGTCGCAGTCCCTTTAGCCAAAGCGCTGGGAGCCAGAAAAAAACCCACCATGCATCCCAAGCAGGCTTCCGTTAGGAGCCGAGCTGCCCCAGGAAAATAGGTGCCCGTACACGCAGGGGAAATCCCAGTCCTTTTCTGTGGGCTGGGAAAATGGGTGAGGGTATGCTGTTCTAGGCTGTACCATCACAAAAAAAGCACTGCCTGCATGCAAGGGCTGGTTCTCAGACTGTGGCTGTTTGTCTGTGCTGCCTCACAAGTGAGGATTATTGTATGGGCTCTGGCCATTAAGCTGCTCTGCCCTGCACCCAATGGCTGGTTTATAGACTCAGGCCATTAGGTTGTGTTGCCCCACAAGCAAGAGTTCTATAGACCCTGGGTATTAGGCCATTCTGCCCTGCAACCAAAGAGCTAGTCTAGAGAGTCTGGCCATTAGATAACATTGACCCACAAACAAGGACCGAGCAGACTGGCAGCAGTAATAGCGGTATCCCATTCCTGTAACCCTTCTCTTTGGACAGGGTGTAGAAATGCCGCCACATGTGGAGATGGCGGGCATCGACCAGGACTTGCTAAAAAGTCCAAACAAAAGACTGAAACAGAGGACAAA